ACTTGTCAAACAACCACCAGCCAGTCTGGCAATCCCAACCTTCGTTTAATTCTTCGTCTTTAGTACCCAGCCCTCTTCATTTTCCCCTTCCTTCGACCTGTAATAGTCCCTCAAGCAACTTGAATGTCTCACCTAAGGTCGTTGCCAAATAGCGCCNACTGAATCTGCGGGCCTTCAACGTGATGACCCTGATGCAGGTAAGTCAACAAGCTTGTCTGGCGCGTACAATGTAATCCTTGGGGATCGATATTTGCTGCGTGTCAGACTCGTATCCAGGATCCTGCTACTATAAGCCACTTGAACGCGCCTGATTTGTCTTCGAGATATGTTCTTGCATCAGGCGACGACGAAGCCCGTTCAGTGGGTCAGTGCGGGGTAGGTATTGTACTAGGCAGCAGAGCGCAGTTCTCTCTTATCGATTGGATCCCCGTCAACAGTCTTTTAAGTGCAGTTCGTCTCCAGGGTTCAATCAATGTGCGGAAGGGAAGCGACACCAAAAGGTTATTGTTCATCCTATCGGCGTATTCACCGAATAATTGCAGTTCTGACACAAAAGGACGCTTTCTACGATGAACTCACCGATCTCATTCGGATGAGTCAAAGCTCCAACTGGTTGTACTGGCAGGTAACTTCAGCGCGCAACTTGGAAAACTGAGCGCATCAGAAGCTTGCCTAGGTGGTAGTTGTGTTCTACCCAGCCAACGAACAGATAATGGCGACTGACTTCTTCAGTTCTGCGCAGACCACCATCTGTTCCTTGAAAGCACCGACTTCCNTTCCGATACAGCTCTCGACGAACGGCAACGTGGCGCTCCAGTTCAACTGGTACGCTAACTCAAATCGACCACATAGCAGTAAGTTACCGTTGGCGTGGCTCAGTGCAAAATTGCAGGTCCTATTGGACCACCTGCGTTGAGTCTGACCACGCATTAGATCTGATGCAGTTCGATCTTCGACTGACTGGTCGGCGACGAATTCAACCAATCCCTACAGCTCATCGACTATCTGTTCCGGCAGTTTAGTGTACGCTATGAATCCGAGCTAGTGTGTGAGCTAACCACACCTCAACATGGCGATGTATACGAGCAGTGGGACCAGATAAGATGAGCACTGCATTCCGCAGCGAATGTTGCGTGTAGGTCTGAGCCTCAAACCCGTCGGAGGCATTGTATATCTCAGGAGTCAGTGGTTTAGATGGAGAAAAAACGACAAATCCCGACCTGCCAGTATCAAAATAGAGTTAGGTGGCATCAGCTCACGAAGAGCCTCAAGAACTGGTGGGCAAGAATAGCTGATGAGATGGAAGTAGTAGTTGCATCACGGAAAAGTCAGACTGTTCCGACTGATGCGCAATAAGGAAGGCCGGCGAACTCCAGTTAATGAAACAGTCTGTGATAAGAGGGCACAAGCTATGGGCGGAATACATCAGCGAACAGTTCAGGTGGCCTAGTAATAACCGGGCTGCTTCATATGTAAATGAAGCTCCGTGGGCAGTGGCTTGCTATCCTCCAGCAGAAGCAGAAGTTCAGACTTGCATCGAAGATCTGAAGCGAGGCAAGGCAGCAGGACCGGATGAGCTCCCCCAACTTTTTCAAGATGGGGGCTGATAACCTCATATGCTGTATTACTAACCTACTGCGCGAAATTCGGGCGCAAGAACGCATTCCTTCATCTTGGGGCGAATCACTGATCGTTCCCATTTTCACGAAAGGATATCCCAACGATTGTGAAAACCACCACGGGATCAGTTTGAACCCGATCGGTTATACTTCGACGTCTGACGCCTTCAAGAGAGCAAACCGGATTCCGGCCTGGCCGTGAATGTATTGATCAATATTTTTACGTCGCGTCAGATCTTTCAGCTGCGTCATACTCACCGTCGGCCAATGTTCGCATTGTTCCTTGACCTGAAAGGAGCCTTTGACCCAGTTGGCTGCGAAGCTCTGATGGGCTCCCTTCTTCGAGAAGGAATGCCCCAGAAGTATGTTAACCTACTTAGGTCACTGTACTCATAGACCTCCAGTCGTGTAAAGGTTTACAGCAATCTAGATAGGCCCTCAGTCACCAGCGGCGGCGTCCGTCAGGGGCGCCCTCTTTCGCCGTTCCTGTTCAATTTCGTCGCAGACGAAATACTGGAGAATGCACTAAGTGGACTCCAAAACATGGGTATTGAATGGGCAGCTGGCGAGAAGCTGTCCGATTTAGAGTACGCCGATGACATCGTTTGTCTGTTCGAATGTATGGGGGACGCGCAAAGCGCACTTGATAGATTAACAACTGCAGTTGCCACATTCGGTATGTGCTTTGCGCCTTCAAAGCGCAAAGTGATGCTGCAGGACTAGGTTTCGTCTACTCCCGCTCTGACACTAAGTGATTTGAGAGTTAACGAAACTCCTGGACTCACTGTGGGACTGGGAATAGGTTTCAACTGAATGGTGGGAATCGGTGATCACACCGATTATCAAGAAAGGTGACAGGTTTTCTGGTGAAAACCACTGAGGAATTAGTTTAATCAGCATTGCTTCTCGCTAGCATCATACTCCGTCGATTGTCTGCCGCGCGTGTGAGAAACAGGCTTGTTTTATACCTGCCCGAGGTTGCCGCGATCACATCTTCACCAAACTCAGGAGCCGCGAGATTCTTTTCGTAGACTCACCATCTCGATCTGAAAGTGGCTTTGGATTCGACCGCTCTAAACTCTGGCGCTGCTGTTCTCTGAAAGGTGTGCTCGATAGGTTAATTTCAATATTACGATCGCTTTATACTAATAGCCCAAGTCCAGTCCGAGCTTACGGCACTTTTTCGCCCGAGTTCACCACGGAAAGTGGTCTTCGCAGGGTTGCCCTC